CTTGATGCAGGAACGAAGGCCAATAACTTACTTTAGTTAAAAAACTAAGTGAAGCGGATCTCATTTATCCTACATATGACAGAGAGTTGTATGAACTTGTTTGGACGTTAAAAACATGGCAACACTATCTTTGGTCAAAGGAATTTATGATTCACACAGACCATGAGTCCATAAAGTATTTAAGGGGTCCCAATTTGATCACAAAGATGTATTACTAACCTATGTGCTTTTTTGATTCTCATTAATTTATTTTAGGATTTACTACAGGATTATTTTCAACCATACATTTACATAATAAAATATTCCACATATTCTTCCAAAAAAAAATTTCTATTTTTTAACCACACAATCTCCTAAAAATACTATTCGAAACTCATTTTCTCTCCAATTAAAAAAAAAAAAAATTCAAACAGACATTAAACATGATTACACACAACACATATAACACATTTAATTGATCAAATTTAATAAACTTGTTCATAACTCTTGAATTCATACATAATTGAATAAATTCGAAATTTTATACCAATATCAAAATCTTAGTTCAATACCTGTCAACTCAAATAATTCAATAATATCCTGTTTTTGAAAAAAATAAAAAATAAATAAATAAATAAATTTGTAACTATAAAAAATATCATCACGTGAAAAAATATTTTGAATTGTTTTAGCTATTTCTTTGGTTTCAATTTTCCCTACTTTTGGTTAAATGGCACCATATTGTTGCATGTCCTCTGATTGTGACTCATCTTCCACATTTCATAACTTGCGATTTCTCACATGCTAACTTCTTCCTATTTGTAGTAAGGTGTCGAAAACTTCTCTTTTGATTAGGGACATATGACCTTTATACAATAAACAAACGTACAAACTCACATTCCTACTCACACATATATAATAGCAAGTCACATTCAATTCATTACGGCTCACATCTAACATGTTCATAAATTGTCAACACAGACATAGTCACAAAGAGTCACATTTAACTCAAAAAATTGTTACAAACTGTTTTACAAGATAATTATGTTTACAATAGCACTTTTTGAACAACATGCTCAAAATTCTCAAGCTAAAAATAATGTCATACTAGTGGGTCACAACATTGAAAATAGATGTCCCAAATTCATTATAATTGAAGCACAGACCTAATCACAGATAGTCGCATTTACTACAAAAATGGTCACGAACGATTTTTTTTACATGACTATGTTTAGAAAAACACTTTTAAATCAGCAATTTAAGAATTATGAAATTAAAAATAATAAATTCATACTGTTGCTCACAACATATCACAATTCACTCCATCATAATAATTTGCTCACTTAATCCAAGCAGAATAACAGCAAACTTGTAAACGTAAACACAAAACCAAGCATGACCCATATAATTTTATTAGTATTTCAAACCTTAAAAATCATTTATAAGTGAATTTTTGCTACAAAATCAAATAAAAAATTGACAGCATTTTACAGTACTCGGTATTAACTCAAAAATCAGAACAAACCAAAGGTCAACCCATTAATCAACTGCCATAAACCAAAGAAAGGACTCAACTTACCGACACAACCAATATCTCGTACCTTGATATATATTGTTTGAGCACAAATGGAGTATCAATCGCTTTACTACGTCAACCATTTCATGTGATTTGATTCTGTTGGAAGAATTTTGTGAATAGTGACGTCGAAATAAGTATAATGATGGTGACAAAGCCGAGGCAAGAGTTGGACTCTTTGTCCTTAAGTCGAATTTGCCCTGCAACGGTGCCTACGGATTTCGGCAATCGACTCCCAAGATACAACGGTTACACTTGTGTTTGTAGCACTCCAAAACACAAGTACAACGAACCAAATGTAGGCTTATGTACTCCAAGGATGAAATGAAAGAAAATCAAAATAAATGAAATGATTTTGATTTTGGATAGAAGAGAGGATGAGAGACGTTTTTGCATATCAAAACTGTGAGGAATAGGACACCCAAAGGGTCCTATTTATAGACCATGAAAGGGTGTGGACGAAATGGTTGAGACCAAACCATGCACCCTTTCCAAACAATGCATCTTTATGAAAAGGTGTCTATTCATTAATGGTTGAGGCCTTTTTCGTAATTTCTCATTCATCCGATATTGGTTTTCGAAATGCCAAATATACCCTTCAATACATGCAGAGAAATCAAAATTCTCTTTCGGGGGCGTTGCCCCCGACCCCCCACGAGGGGCGCTGCCCCCTCGACCCCCGCGACCTGACCGGGCAGGTCGATCCCCATTTGTGCGCCCCGAAGCGGTGAAATGGCAAACAATTTTGCCTAAACGGATTGAGTCGAGCTTTTGAGTATTTGGCCGAAGTCGATACGAACTTTAATCGATTTTCAATTCTCGATTTATTTAACCAATATCCAACAGATTCATCAATTTTGTGGCCTATCAATGATTTAGGGGAGAAATTATAGTGACTTAGGAGGGAATTTGGGAATCGGTATCTTTATTGAGAAAAAGATAGTGTTTTGATTATAATTGGAGTGAGAAAAATTTATATGAAATAATTACTAATTTTAAGGATCCGTTATATAGTTTAATTTATCCTAATTTAGATTATATTTCCTATATTATATTACATTTTTATATGGTATGCCACCTGAATTTTGAAATTATTTTTCAAGATTGTTAGTTATGAAATGCTTTTCTTATAGTCTAGCAGTTATTTTTTTTTAATTTTTTTTCAATTATTAAACGCATAAACAATTTAATAAATTTAATTGTCAAAGAAAATTTCGTAATTAAATAAATTAATAGCAATTATATTTATAATTATTTTATTATCTTATAAAAAATATAAAGGAATATAAAAAAACAATTTTGTGAGTGAAATTGACAGCTTCTTGTCAACGCCTAAGCATCGCCAATGATTCCCATAAACATCTCGAAAAAAGGTGTATTGGTGATCAACAAATAATATCGTTGTCGATAATTATGGCTAAATCAAAACATCAATAGCACACCGTCAACGATCAATGACATCTCGTAAGTGGTTGAAGAACCATTGTAATCTCAACAACATTGTTGTTGATAAACGTGACGACATAATCATCAACCATTTAATGTTGACGATTCCCCGCAAATTTTTCGTTATTTATTTTCTCCATAAATTTTAATTATTATATTCGAAGAGATCAACAATTTTGCCTAAGCCCCAAATCACTTTAGTTGCCTCTTTATCAAACACGAAATTTCTTTCCTCCAAATTTTCATTTGTTCTGATTTATCTCCAGAAATATATTGAGCCTTGGCATCGTTTTAAGCTTTTTTCTTCTTGTTAATTTACAGTAACTTACCGCAGCCCTTATGCCTGCAACTGAAAGAGCATTTGTGTATTATAAAGTGCATATAAAATCAATGGAGATTGGATAGAAGTAAAATATACTTATACGAGCCGGTCTATGCATAAAATAATAATTTTCTATAGATAAAAGTAAAGACATGATTTTGCATTGATCATTCTAATACTTGGTGTACATTCTTTTTGACCACTTCAAAAAAAAAAAAAAAAAAAAAAAACCCTATTTTTCATCCAACAATCTTTGACAACACACTCTTCAATCAACAAAGTGATACAAAGTAATGTATAAATTAGCAAAATCCTTTCAAAAAACTAGTAAATGTCTGACTTTTAGTTTAATTAAAAAAAATGATAATAACTTAAGTCAAAGTTAATAAATTTACAAACTTTTCAAACACACAATTCATAATCTTTATCAAAATTTACTAAATCTAATTTGTACCCAACTCAAAGAGGGACATCATAATATGTGAGGACCTTACAATAGCCAATAAATTTGATTGAGGACAAAACATGGGGTCTCAAGGATAGAAACATTTTATACACCAAAGCATCTTAACCTTTGATGAAGGCTCATAAAATTATTTGCATAGCCTACATCCAGCTTATAAGTGAGAAATTTAATGGTCGTATACAATGTTTTGAAAACCAACCCGATCATCAACCTGGAAAAGGGGAAGGGTTAAAGGTCAAAAGGTTCGGCCCTAGTCGAATCGGGATCAAACAAAATGCAATAAATACATACAAAAATAATAAAATACTATGAAAACAATAATTTTTTTTATTTTCATATTAATAATTTGTTAATTAAATTCACTATTATATAATTTGTTAACATTTTTGTTATATCAATATCCCATATTGAAAGTTCATGAAACCATTGGAAATAAATGCATTTATAAAATGCACTATCCCACATTAGAAGTTTATGAAATCATTTGAGGGTGGTGCATTTATAAAAAGAGATTGTCATCTAGTATTTTTCTATGGGTCTTTGAATTGCTGTTTATAAAGCTCATTCATGAAATTGAAATTTAAAAAATAAATAAAAAATTTGGGAAAAGTGCAAAATTGTTACCGGTTTGCCGGTTTACAATTAAATTGGCTGGTCCAATGAGTTTTAAGCAGTTTAGTCATAAGTGGTTAATCGGACATTATTGGCCTGATTTTGGGCCCAATTCCCCATTTTACCGGTTGAACCAGCTGGATCGGCCGATTTTGATAACATTATTCGTATATCATGAAAATTCTCTCTCCTCTACATTGTATGAATGCTCATTCTCTTGAACATCCTTCTCATTCCTTGGCGCCACTTCCACCCCCATTCTAATCCTACAGTGAAGGCCCTCGCATATTGTGATTTTGATCTTCATGTGCAGTGTACATCTTTGCCTAACACTCTTGTTCTTGATAAGCATCCTCTATACACTGAAACTGATACAATACTCCTTATGAGGATAAAAGCACTATGTTACAGTGTGATTCATGAAGCACGATCACTGATTATATTGCCTTGTTTTGGATTTCAATTTCTTTTGTAAAATTATAAGTTGATAGAAATGAGTAGAAATCTAGTACAATTCATACTGGATAGCAACTGCATAATTTATTAAAATTACCGTACATCACTTCAAATGTGATAATATGTACCCAACAGCGTGTATGGTCAAGAGTTGAACAAAAATTAACTGATATTTACCTCATAATGTCAGCAAAAGCCAAAGATAAAATCATTATGATATCAACCTATCACTGCACATGCTCCAATCAACTTATGGGTCCATGAATTGGAAAATCGCAACTGCTGAACTCGAACAATGAATAATGAGGGAAAAAGAACAAACAGCTTCTTAATTCATGTAATTTCCCGACTTGAAAATAGATTAACGCAGAGACGGACATGAAGTGAGATACCACTTGACCCCATGACATCGTTTCTACCACACAAGAAAATGCTCAAGCAATTATTATTACAAAAATTGTTAACAGTACTCTAACCCGGCAACATTTCTTTCACTCTTAAGCAGCTTTCTTGCAATAATTTTCAAGCCATTCCATTGTAACACTCTTTGGCCTCTCAAGTGGCAATCCTAGAGCCCGGTCCCATATAAGCTAAACCAATGGAAACTTAGATTAGTACAAACTCATAATAAAAATTACAAATAGAAATTAAAATACCGGAAGAAGAAAGAGTATAGGAGAAAGAACCTGCGAGCAAATACCAATTGCCCTTGATACACCAAAGAGAACAGTGAAGTATCTGTCAAAATTGAAAATAAAAGTGTCATTATCTTCATGTTCTCATAATCGAGAGAGAGAGAGAGTGATGAGGACATCCACCCATATTTGTTTTATTTTATTTGGACTCTTATTTATTTTGTTTATTTTAGTTGGACTATTATTTTTGTTAGTGTACTTATATAATGGGATTGGCCCTCTCTTTAGGGTTTCCTTTTTTTTTTTTTTAGGGTTTTGTCTTGTTATTTAAATTTAGTTTGCCATGTAATTGAAACAGCTGATGAATGAATAAATGTTTGGTGGCTTGTTGCGAAATTCCTCTCTTCTCTATTTTCTTCTATTTCTTTAGCTGATTATTCTATCATTCTTCCTTTAATCTCTTCTTCATAGATCTGTTTTCTTTCTCCATTAATTGTGTCAGTTAGTCCGGCATCACACACAGAGAGAGAGAGAGAGAATGTACATTCAAGCGCTGAAAAAGAGAACAGAATATATACCTTGCTTCAGTTAATCCATAATGGTTGAGCAACACTCCACTGTGGGCATCTACATTGGGCCAAGGGTTTTTAACCTACAAAGAGACAGATCCCAGGAACAATGCTTCATTAAGTGAGGTTTGAAAAGAGAAACTTCAGATCACTGACCAATGAAATTTCTACTACAGCAGAATGTGGCACACAAAATGTATTCAAAAGCAAGCACAGCAGAATGATTGCATTAACAGGACATTTGAATGATTTCTTTAAAGAGTGCTGCAAATATAAAAATCATCATCGAGATTCATCTAAAATATTTATAATCACAATAAATGCCTGAACTATTCTCCATAGAATTCCTTAGACTGCAAGAGAGGTAAAAAGTAAATCTAGACATCAATCGAACCAAATTTCCATATTGAAGATTATTTAATCTCATATTCCTCTTTTTATCACTTTCAACATATATAAACAATTCGGTCAGAGTACGAGAGAAATTTCTCAAGGTATAACAACTAATAGTAACACAGCATCATTTACCTTGCCAAGTTCTAAGAGTATAGGAGGCACTACTTCATAAAGATTTGAAACCTGCACATAAATTCAATCAAGAGAAGAAATTTTAACACCTCATAATCAACATGCTACACCATATAAAGATACAGCCACATTACAATATCAAGGTTCAAGTGCAAACCAGTTTGAATAGCGGATCATCGGGCAAGTGCTTCAGTGCAAACTCTCTCTGGCACGTGTATCTTGGATCTGTCTTGCGCAGAACTCCATGTCCAAATCCAGGAACAACCTGCAATTTGGAGAAATGGGTGAAAAAGTTGTACACAAAGTTGTTTAACATAAAACAAAATTGTGAGACAAAAAACAGAGGGAAATGGAAAAATTCAACAATACTACCTTGCCGCTGTTCAATGTTTTCCAGACATAGTCTTTCAAGTTTTCTTTGGTAACATTCTCTCCACACTCCTCTACCACAGATTTAATCCATAGTAAGACTTCCTGTAATAATATATAAAACACAAGCACAGGAGAAGTAATTTTATCGGTTTGCTCATCATAGATGAAGGGATATTATTTTAATGAGAATCCAATTTGCAAAGAGAACTCAGAATGACAGGAATTGATCACAGTTTTCTTTTCGGCTTTGGGTGATCCACTTAGAGAAATTTCACTAATGGGATTTCTGTCTCCCGGCCATCGGGTTTGGCTTCAAGTCTGGTTATGGATCATGATAAAACGGGAATAGTAGCTAATACTTAATCAAATATAGAACCAGCCACAATCTTTTGGCATTTCACAGCCACATCTTTACAATAAGCTTTGGATGCAGCAGACGGATCAAGTAAGTTTGAGCTGATTCAAGAATAATATGAAGTCTGACAACTTAAAATCCAAACAGCAACCAGGTTAGCTGCTTAGGAACTATGGCTGTATGAATAGGAGCTCCCAAGAGGACTATTTTGCAGCCCCAAAGGATTAAATTTTCCCATTGTCGAGAAAAATAATTTGATGATAACTACAATTGTTGCATGCTCCAGTAGAAATACAAAAGGCCATATTATCTATCGAGGAAAACTAGGACTTCTCAATAACACAAGCAAAGCATTGAGAACTTCTTCGCAAATTATAGTGTAGGTGGAGTTTAGCGTAAAGGTAGATGATGACATCAGCATCAAGACATCAACAATTATATTTAGAAATTATCAGCATCACATTTTCAAAGAACTACAGATAATGGTAAAACATTCATGCACCTGATTAGCCAAACCATGAAGTGGACCGGCTAAACCATTTAATGCAGCAGCAAAGGAGAGATAAGGATCTGAAAGTGCACTGGCGACCTGGAAGGTATAAAACAGTTAGCGAAGCAGTAGATAAGCCCTGAACAAATTTCCATATTGTGTCAAGAGTGTCAAAAGAGACACTATAAGTTCATATAGGCAACTTCAACCAGATGCAAGCATTAGCAAGCCATTGACATTACAACATTTACAAAAAGATCATATAAAGACCCATCACTTACTAAGTGACCAGTATGAGCACTAACATTCCCGCCTTCATGATCACTGCATCACAGCATATAAATGTCAAAGGACATTATCATCTGATTAAACAATTAAGTAGAACTAATTCCTTTTTATATTACGAATATTGACAATCTATCTTGTCATGACACTAAAACCCACCTGTGGATGGTCACATAAAGCCTCATAAGCTCTAGCATGTCGGGACTATCAAATCCCAGCATGTGTGCAAAATTTCCACCATAGTCTAGGGAATCATCCATTGGTATAACTTGTTCGTTCTTGTACATCCTTCACAAGTTGAAAGAAATGTAAATTGAAACACAATAGATTCTGTACCAATTTATACGAGGACATTAAACAGAACTCAATAAAGGATGTCCACATATATGTGCTTAGATTTCAACACAAAAAGATATGATGCAGTTATCAAACCTTCTATAGACATAAGCAGCTACAACTGGAACTTGAGCAATCAAACTTAGGGAGTCCTCATACGTTGGTTCCCAGTACCTAAATGGGATGAAACCTCAAGCTTTTGCATTAAAAAATAGAAATAACTTTTATTCAGAATACAAAACATCGTCAAAGATCACTTTGATTTGTGGATCCCCTTTTCATATGCCATTTGGAATTCACTTTGAACCTGAAACGCAAGAAATAATAGGAATTTTTCAGTTGACATCTCTTACATAAAACTAAGAACAATGAATTCCTCATAAAAACAAGAAACATAAACTGGTGTACCAAACTGGAACAATCTTTAGCCAAAAATTATAACAACTGCAGAAAAATTCAAAATATACAAGAAGATAATAATAAAACAAAGAGGCAAGGCCATTGACTAAAAACTGTGCCATGGCTGATCATTTTGTATGATATAGTCACAAGTTATGAGCACAGTTCATCCAGCACAGCAACTAGTTAATCGGCCAACAAATTTAGGAAAGGAATTAACAACTAAGGACAATGATAATAAATTCCACAATGACAAATTTAATCATGATCAATGGCTCCAACTAAAGTCCTTTTTATTGTCTGCAAGTCTGAGAAAGTTTCCTTTTAAATGAGAAGTGACATTTTTACCATGAATTTCTTACCGGAACAAGACATGGATTGCTACCAATTATAATTGTTAAACCTATAACAGTCATCTGTAAAAGCTGTATTGGAAAAGAAGGAAGGGGGGGGGGGGGGGGGGGTTTGTGGGGGGGGCTTATTAGCCGAAGCTTGTTTCTCCTTTAATAATTCGTGTGGTGCGCAAACTTGCATCCTTCCCCAAAAAAAAAGAAAAGAAGAAACCAATAATTAACATGCTTCCTTTGTCTTTGGCGTCTTGTCATGTTCTTTACACTCTTTGACTTCTATTCTTCGAACTTCGGACTTCTATTTTTTATTTTATTTTTGAACAATACAAATTCAATAGTTGTCATTCATACTTTACTTTTTCTATTTACAATTTGTTAGAAAATCTAAAATGATTTCGTAATTGTAGATAGATTTTACAGTTACATAATATTTCCGGGAAGACTGATTTGTTTCCATGTCTAGATTCTATTAAGTCAATTCTGTGTACAATATAATGTTTCTATAGTTTTCTTCAAATGGAAGGAGACAGAATTTCTTTCTCTTAATATCTTCACATTCTTTTCATGGACCTAATTCCCAATATAATTGATTTGAACTAAGGTTGACCGTGTAAATTGGGAAACATAAATAAAGTTAATTTGTTCAAAATCTACATAATTTTCCTACTCTATTTTTCATCCACATAATCCGTAGGGGACACAACCTTTAGGCTAAAGAGCCTAACGTCCTATTATTTTTCTGTCCTTCTAGGCTAAGAGCCTAAAGTCCTATAACCTGCGCCATCAATACGAGCCAATGTCGAAAATCTTTGAACATTCTACTTTTCATGGATAGCCATCAAGCAGCCATAATAAGACTCAGGAACAAAGACAGGACTCAGTTATTCCTGAAAATATAAAACATGAAAGGCAAAGCCACGAAACTAAAACCAAGGAAATTTAATATATGGGATTAGTCCCACTGGATGCATCTCCAACCCAGATATAGTAACTCAGATTCGTTGTGCAAATATATGAAGCCTCTTGTTTCCATTTCACTATGTCAGCTTCCAAAAATGGTGGAGATGAGATGAATCAGAATAGCAATGTATCATTTTTATTGGTTGCCAGGAAAACGATCTTTACTGTCAATACCTTTAACATCTTTTTTTGACTAACACCTTCTACTTGCACTTTGTATTGACACCTTTTCTTAACACCTACTTGTACTTCAGTATTTTCGAAACAACTATGATAAATATGCAACTTCGAACAGAGCAAGAAAACACTTGAAAATGCATATAAAGAGATGAACGATCAATGAACATTTTAGGATGACCAAATACATCAAAACCAGGTTGTAGAACCAAAACTCATCAATGAATATTACAGCCAGAGAAAATAGTAAATCAGTCTACCTGAAGGGCCATCACACCAGTAGCAAATTGAGTCATTGGATGAGCATTAACAGGTAAGGCGTTGATGGTTTTGTATACATGATCTGCAATAACAAATGTGAATTTACAGATGAAGACGTTTGAATAGGTGACAAAAGCTTCGGACTACAGCTTTAGCCTGTCAAACAGACATATACCACACATAAATACTAAAAATCCAGGAGGAAAAAGAAAAGCACAACTGCGTATTATGATCTTATGTCACAACATTTGACAAAGTTCTACGTTGGCTATCAACCTACTGCAATCCTACTTTACCTGAGCTCAGGACTGGCTACAAGATAAAAGAAAAGCACACTATGAAAAATAGAAAATTAAAACACAAAAACAATCAACAAATTAGTTGGCGTTGTAAATTAACTAACAATAATGAAATGAAAGTATCATCGACTACAGTGGCAAGACAGAAATTTCAGTGTCTTCAGATATAACCCAAATGAACAGGTTGGCATAGTTAGAGTTGGACAAATAGACATTAGACAGAAATCATTGAAGAACCATCACGTGATCAATTCTAAGCGGTAAAGATAGTATAAAGAGTTAGAAGAACCTGGGACGGTAGCACGACTTCTCAATTCCTTTGATAACGAATCTACTTGCTCTTTTGTTGGTACCTAAATAAATTTTGAATAGATAACACAAGATTAACATCAAGCCAGTTATCGGGCATAGAGGAACATGAAAGCAAAAAGGCTGAAAAGGTGGTTCAATAACAAATCACGACCTTCAAAAGCAGCTTTTACCTATACAGTCAAGATTACTCAAGAAAAAAAAAAGTGCGATCCTAAAGGATTCAGTATTTCAGACATCATTATAAATATCAATGAAATCCCACCTTTCCCGTTAAAAGAAGCCAAAGGAGGCCCTCAGGCATTGGTTCTCCACCAGGCTTTGCTGCAGGTAATACCTTCTGGCATTCAGGAATAGACAAACCTCGGAAGCGAATTCCCTAAGAAAAGTTTGAGGAAACAACAAAAAATTAGAAAGTAAATATTACACCATCTTAGGTTTTAGACACTAGTGACAATTCTACATGCCCCTGTATCCACCCACTGCACGATTATCTCATTAAAAGCTCAAAGTGACACAAGGGATGCGTACCTCTTCTGGATCAAGTAATGAGGTTTCCCATAACAATCCTGTCATTCCTCTCATCCCACCAAGAACCTTTCAAAAAGCACAGACGGAGAGCAATCAATTCCTCTATTATCTATTTTTCTTAAATACATGACAAAAGTAGTAGATGTATTCCAATTATCCATTTTATTAGCCAGAGTAGAGTGGAAACAAAAGAGAGGATACCATATCAACAGTTATGTTCCCTAGCTGAACCTTTCCATGCTCTGATTTGATTTTCTTTAGACGCTCCTGTGACAAAAATAGGGGTAATGTGATCAACCTCTTTTTTTAGTATTATTTTTAAGTTAGAACTGAAGGCATGAATTGTTATAACCCATCTCAATTAGCCAAAAATTAAAAGTTGACTTGTCAAAGTCTAAGTCAAATAGGGACTAAAATGAAATAAATTATTTTATTGGGGTTTATTTTACAAAATTGACAATATTTGAAGGTTTAAGATGAATAAAATAAGATTTTGGGAATCTACTTATATATTATTGAAAGTTAAAGGACTAAATGTTATATTAAATGGAAGAAGAGGGACTCCCTTTGCAAAAACTAAGTTATTGGCCATTTAAAATCCATTTTTCATTTTCATAACCACAAAAAGCTTCATGAAACGGGGCAGAGAGGCTGAAAACCGAAAAAGAAGGGAAAGAGCAGAGAAAGAAAGGAGAAAGAAAAGGAGAAAAAGAAAGAAGAAAGGAGGAAGAAATTAGGTGAATGTGTTTCCACAATATATGACCCCACATGGTTATTTTACCCCACTCTGTACTGGCGTGAATGTGTTTCCACAATATATGATCAGTTATGGTAATTTTTTGTGAATGTATTTCCATAGTGTATGATCAGATTATAGCCTTTGTGCAGCTCTGTGCGCATATGACCAAAATTTCAAAATCTCAGAATTTAATAGTTTTACCATGTATATCGATATTATCGATACATGAGTAAGATTATTTCGAGTATCTTTTTTGTATGATTTTTCAATAATTATATAGCTTATCACATTTCAGATTACGGAACTTTGTTGATTCCATTCATAGAATAAAGATTTCAGCTTACAATGTTAAGTAATGACAGTATTTCATGTATACAAGATTATTTATATTCACTATACATATGTTTGTTTAGAATAAAGAACAAAAGTTGTCAACATTCAATCATGTTTCAGTTTTAAAGGTTATTACGAAATTTCAGACTTTCTTAAAGTTGTAATAGCATAAGCGTCTTCAAAAAGTTTGGATAAAAGGAAAATTATACTTATTTGTGAAATATCCATTCACTAAGTTATAAGCTTATATATTTTGTTACCCTTTTTTTATCAGATAGTAACTAAGTTGAGCAGCATTGGAGCCTATTGATCTACCGAGTTGAGCCAAACATTGTCATCAGTTGTATGAGTCAATCTGTCAGTCTATATAGTTCATATTTTTGTGATACATGAATCTTTTGTCGAAAAATGTATCAATATCAAGGGCTCGCTACATTTTTGTATATGTTATACATTTGGAGTCTTCTAATCTGTGTAAAAGCGTAAATTTCATTCCAGTGCACGTCATTTTGAATAGTTTGTGTTTTGAGGGGCTGACGTACCCTATTTTAAATTATATGCATAGATTTGAGATAATTGATTATTACTCAGGTGATTTTAGTCCATATTTCAGAAGAAACTCTGTTAAAATTCTGTTAAAAATTCGTCACAATCAAAGCAAGACAAAGTTGCATTGAAAGTAGGTCCGACACTTAGCTGATATCTATCATCGACACACGGCACGTGTCGAATCCATTAAGATGATTTGGGATAGGTCGTGTCATAAATCAAGAAGAGAATATACCAAACTCCATAGACAATCAATTAAGGATTTATTAAAAATAACAATCCCAATGACAAGCATCCGTTTGGCAAAATTTATAAATCATTTATAAATTATCAAACTTAAATTTCAACCACACATTTCAATAAACCCATACGTAGTGCCCACCATTAATTTCTATTTATTTATAAATTAAACAATTTACAAATTCTTCCCAAACAAAGGCTAAATTGGAATTTGCAACAAGTTCAAATGGAAAGAAATCGATAAAAACATTCCCAGAAACAGAATTTTGTCACTTAAAGCATGTTTGTAAGTGTTTATAAACGGTCTAAATTATAAATAGATATAAAGGAGTGAGAGATAATTGAGTAGTACTTATGGGTCCCACACAAATAAAAGGTGATTTGACCTATTATAAGCAGTGTATAAACATGGGCTTAGCCTTGTTAAAGTACAGGGTTTTAAATGAAGGTAGTAAATATGAGTTTGTTGGAGTTTTAACTTGCAATGGACTATTATTTGGAAAGTTAAGACAAATGTCAAGTGAAAGAAGTATAGTCACTAAAAATCAAAACTTTGGGGCCTAATAGAAGTACCTGCTGCTCTGGAATCAATTCTTTCAGCTGAGAATGAAGGTCCTGCAAGTGAGGCAATAGTGATATAAATTAAAAATTTCTTATTAAGTTGTTCCACTTCCACAACACAAGCAACAGTCATAAAGATAAAAGAAAACAGAATTAGAAATCTTAATCATGAGATTGTAATCTAGGGTTCCAACATTCTGCAATTCTCCAACCCAATGATCCCACTTCTATTAACATTTCCACACCACAAAATTATTATAATCACGATATGACATTGAGCCTCCAAATTGTCAGATGTACACATTTTATCACTTGTAAAGCTAATTTCAGCATCTAATAAGCATTTCTACAATGACAATAATCATTAAAATTGCCACACCGTCCTTCCAAGCATTTTCGCGACTGATTCACCAATTTCATAAGCAGCAGGACTGTCTTTTAACTATATATTTTTCCTTATACCCAGTTTTTGCTACTCTCAACTTAAGGATCTTCCTCCTATCCCCACTAAATTGGCAGTTTTTACACAAGAAAAACAAGAGAAGAAAGTAGAAGATAAAAGCATCTCATATTTTCACTATTTTGAGGATGAGACTGGGAAGACAAACTACTGGCTTTAAGCTAATAAACAATTTAAAAAATTGGAATATCTGATTTTCTTAGTCTTTCCCTTCTACTATTGTAATTAAACAGAGAATACTGTTTCTAAGCATTCCTTTCTTCCCTTCCATTAATCCCAGATTTACAGAATCTTCCAATTATATTGGGCATAGCAGAAATTAGAAAGATATTTTAAATGTATTTTTTTTCAATTTCCTTTCCTCTTGCTTTATTGGTACAACAGAGGCCTGAAAGACACAAATTGTAACTCCCGGCCCTCTATTCCGGCATGCCAACTAAGAATTAAGTTTGCAAAAACCAGAATGCTAGCCAGACCAATTAACGCACATTGATCCACAAGGAAATTGCATAAGATACACCAAAATTGTACAAAGGCTTACAAGATCAGAGAAGGTCTGGACTTGAAGCCAGCGTACTGAATCTCGGAGGCTAGGATGTTGAACCTATTATACAAAATAAATACAAGATAAAAAATAACCAACTAAAAATTGACAACAGATCGATCAGGTAAATGAAATCAAAAAGTTCCAATTAAATCACATCAAATCAACTTTTAGCTGTTTACCGCATTCATTCTACATTAAAATAACTAAATTTGTTGCAACGAATAGACAGCGACCGATTAACAGAAAATACTTACAGCGCGCGACCGAAGCTTGGATAATAGAGAAACGCCGCCCTTAAAGAAAACCATTGTTCACTGCACCAACTCAAATATTTCAATCGAATCAGATATTTATTCGATGCACAATCTACTGTAGTATTGAGCCAAACAGTTCCAAAATGAGTTATTAATTATTCAGCAGATCAACAAAAAAAAAAAATATGAAGTTTAAGGCCCCGGGATTTTTTGCCCCAAAAAATTGATTTTTTGACCGTTATTTTACTATTCAAGTCGTAATTTTTGACTTCTTCTCTCACATGTGGACCCTACTTTTCTTCTAACAGTCAAAAAATTAATTCTTAAAATCGGGGCTAAACAAAAGTTTCATTGATGCTTACAGAGAAAAGTAACAATATCCAATTACTATTTATGAGTTTCTGTAATAAAAAGTTAGGCCGAGACCTAAAAATAAGGACAAGAAGAAAAAGTAAGAGATGTAAACGGAAATGCTTAAAATGATTTGTTTTTAATTAAATAAAAATTTGTGGCACTCAATGACTATTATACCCTCGTTTTTAATTTTAATTTAATAAAAGAAAAGAAAAGTAACAACAAATAGGGGAAAAAAATGAAATTCAAAATATGATGCAAATATTGTTATTAAACTCACCAAAGAAATCCTAAATCAATCGTTTTTCAATCTCTCTCTTTCAAATCCTTCTCCGAAGTCATGAAAATGGATGATTTTCATTGTTGGTTTGGAAAATATGGAACCAAATTCTGATTATGCTTCTGTTTTGTGGTCTTTATTTGTAAAAAACTACGTTTTGAATAGTATTTGTTGATCCCAAAAAGTGTTGTCAACAGATGTCAGTCTCACCCGCGCATACGTGGACGAATGTCCAACACGCTAAGACACGTGGACGGTCTAAAACGGACGGTTCAAAGGGCGTGGGAGTAGTCCAACGACACGGGACGGTGACGTTCAGAATCCAGCGGGTTATTCGTGATCTGATTGTACATTAATTACCAACCGGTGTTCGTAAATATATATGTAAATGTATATAAATTCGATTTGTGTATTGCAAGTAAAATGAGAGAGAGTTGAGTAAAGTGTAGTTCTTTGTATTGATTCTTACATTAGTCTTTTGATGTTACACAGGGGAAGTATTTATAGTGGTACATGTGAAATGGGAGCCCTTGGATGAGGTGGCACGTGGCCTCATCTCTTTGATTTAAACATCTTATCAGGCATGAGGTTTGACTTGCTAGCTTGCAGCGCATTTATTGCTTGTGCAGAGTCCCCATACTAGTGACAAGACTTGACCTTTATGCTTATGACAAACGTTCCATCAGTCATTCGAATAAGATCTTTATGCAGACAATCTCTTGGGAGAAGTGAACATGGAGGACACTCCCTTGTGGTTCGGAGGCTCCTGCATCAGTTTCAGGGCTTCAACTATTTCACACAATACTTTCGCTTGAGGGCTTCAGCAATCTTCCACTAGCTTTAGTATCATGGCTTCGGTTCATGGGCCTCGGCATGTGGACCTCGGGTACGTTCACTGGCCTCGATAAAAAGGCGCATCGGCTAGTGGACTTCGGCTTGAAGGGTTTCGGCCATTGCCCACCTCGGCAATATATGCCACCTCGACTGGAGTGCCACGTGGTTCGGCCTGAGTGGGCCAATGGCCCAGGTGGATTGGCCAAGTATGACAACACGCAATAATAGTCCCCCAAGTCCAAGTATGATCATTCATGTAATGCGTGGACTTTAATGAAGTAAAATTTGAAAGAATTTTTTGAACCTCAAATAATAGTCCCCGAAGTCCAAGTGTAGATATTTATATCAGAGTTGGAATTAGAAATGTGTTGCCGTGGGTGAACGATGAAGAGATCGAGGCTGTGTTGATGTTGAAGACGAAACTGAGGTGATTATAAAATCGAACCTGACTTGTTGGCTGAATGTTGAAGCTGAAGTCGAGGTGGTTGAGAAACCGAACTTGCGAGACTTGATGGCTGAATGTTGAAGAAAAAGTCGAGGTGGTTGGGAAACTGAACCTGCGAGATTTGTTGGGTGAATGTTGAAGTTGCAGCCGAGGTGGTTGAAAAAGAACCTGCAAGGCTTGTTGGCTGAATGTTGAAGTTGAAGCCGAGGTGGTTGGAAAACGAACCTGCGAGGCTTGTTGGCTGAATGTTGAAGGTGAAGCCGAGGTGGTTGGGAAACGAACCTGCGAGGCTTGTTGGCTGAATGTTGAAGGTGAAGCCGAGGTGGTTGGGAACCCGAACGTGCGAGGCTTGTTGGCTGAACGTTGAAGTTGAAGCCGAGGTGGTTGGAAAATCGAACCTACGAGGCTTGATGGCTGAATGTTGAAGCTGAAGCCGGGGTTCAATGGTAATGATTGTGCCTCGATAGCTATGCCAATGATTTGATGTTTTGTGCTTGTTTTCGAGGAAAAGTGGCTGAATCGTTACGACTTCCAAGGCGCCTGCTGCCGTCGAATTAAAAACACAATTATGATGGCAGCTGGAGCTTCTAGAAGCAGACGCGTTGGATGGGGCGCGTGGAAGGCACGCTTGAATCTGAGGCGTAGGTTTGAAAAATCGTTTGAATTCAACGCCTCGGATTTGATCTACAATGAAGGGCTCAGATTGACTGAGATTCGACCTGACGGTTGGGGTTTGTCCTAGACCTCTATAAAAGGTAAGAAAATTCTATTTTTCAGGATTTTTGAACACTTGCAATCTGATTCTCTCTCAAAATCTTGAACTTTTCGGCGTCGAGGCTGCCTGCTTTTTGATTTTTCGGCCTATCTCCGTTCGCGTAGTTCTTCCCTTAGGTATTATTCGTAGAAAAGTCCTTTTTGTTATGTTAATATTGTGAAATGGAGTCCACTTCGGGTAGGGAGATGGTAACTGTAGCGTCGTTTGATTATGGGGTCAGTCAGAGGGGGAATGCCGAGGCTGATAGGTACGCCATGAATAAGGAGCCAGTAAATTATACCGAAGAGTGGAGGGCATCTAGGGTGCCTTCAAGTATGACGTGGAAGAGGTTGGGGAAGATTAGGGAGAGATACAGTGTCCCCCATACTATAGAAATGTTAGTTCCCAAGCTGAACGAGCGGGCCTGCTATCCGAGGCCCGATTGTGTGGCAGTCAGTGAATACCTGTTTAAGGCAGGTATGCGTCTTCCTCTGCACCCCTTCTTTAGGGTGATGCTGAGGAATTTCATGTTGTCACCGACCCAGGTTCTGCCAAATGGATGGAGCCAGCTGGTCGGCTCGTATTTCCTGTGGAAGGAGGTGTCACTTGGGGAGGACATGCCTCTCCATGTATTCACGACCCTTTTCCAGCCCCGGGTCACATGGAAGGAGTCCAAGGGGTGGTATTACCTTACACCTTGGGGGGCTCACGCACCCTTTGTGGTAGGATTGTCTTACTCCATCAAGGGGTGGAAGGAGTCCTGGTTCTGGGTGCAAGGAAAGTGGCAGGCAGTGGAGGGGGACAAGGCCCTTTCTTGCACAGTGCTGACCCAGTACTGCGAAGCTCGTGAGTCTCCCAGCCCCTGCTTGTACTTCTGAATTGAATACTTGAACTTTTCTAATTGTTGGGGCTTCCATTGCAGATAGTAGTACGAGGTTCGAGCTCAGCAGGGGAAGAGTTCGAGGTGATAGAGGACATCTACAAGAGGTCTCTGAAGCTCCGCCACTCTGACCACCTGATCGACAGGAGTCACTACTTCCTGGATTTTGGACTGATGGCTTCTAGAGGTACGAAGCTCCCACAGTTGTAAATTTTCTTGTTCTTTTGTTTTGATACTGATGTGCTGACCTGATGTACTATGCAGATAAATTTAAGAAGAAGGAGTACCCAGCTCTGGACATGGCTTCTATTCTAAAGGCCATATCTACTGTGAAGGCAAAGCCCTTGAAGCCGACGTCCAGTGGGCCCAAGGAGGTCCGAGGTAGGGTGGAACGCCTGTCCAAGGACAGCACCCCAAGGGCTTCGGAAGAAGGAATTCCCCAGAGGCAGAAGAAGCCTAAGGAGCCTTGGGGTAAGGAAAAAGTTCCTGAGGAGGCGAAAAGGAGGAAGCTGCTGCACGTCACCAGCTCGTCAGGGAAATTTGGGACCTCAGTGTCCCACGAGGCTAAATCAACAAGCAAGCCGAAGCTGCTCGCATCTGCCTCCAAACCCATCAAAATAGAGATGGTCAAAGAGGCCAAGGCTGAGGAGGCCAGAGAAGAGGCCGCGAGGAGAGCTGCAGAGGCTGCTGAGGAGGAGGCAGCAAAACAGAAGCCTATTCGAGATAAGGGGAAGTCTCCAAGCTTCCTAGCTGGAAGGGAGGAGACCTTGGCCCCAGCTTTAGTGGAGGCTCTTCCCCAAGAGGTCCGGAGCGCCACAGAAAGCTTTTACCGGTTCTGAACGGACAAGTGGTAGCTGCATGCCTCCTCCTGCGATGCCACCGACCTGACGAGGGCTTTGGTGAGCCAAAGCGTCAAAACCTTTGGCCTTGCACTTGAATGCAGGGAGGCCCTGAGTGAATTTCAGACAAGGACCCAGTTTTCGGAGAAGAAGACGGCCTTCCTCGCAGAGGAGTTGAAGGCAGCTAAGGCCGAGGCGGAAGAAGCCAGGGCCCAGAAAGTTGATGAATTGGCCAAACTTGAGTATGCCTTGGCTCAGATTGAGGCCTTGAAAAAGGAAGTGTACGAGTCACAGTGCGAGGTGGCCTCCCTGACAAAGAAGGTAGAGGTCTCCAATGAGCACCAGAAAGTAACCGCCGAGGCCCTGGAGAAAGCAAATGCCTCCTTGGTGTCATCCCAAGAGGCTTACTAGTTCTTGGAGGGCCAAATCAAGTGGTAAGTAGATGATGCCTCCCTTGCAAGAGAGGAGGCCCAACAGGCAAGGAAGGAGGCGGTGAAGGAGTACGTCACCAACTTCCATAATACAGAGGAATATAAGAGCTTCAGTGTTTAATGGAGAAACTTTGCCTACGCTGAGGTGATGGACCGGGCAGAGGAACTGTATCCCAATTTAGATCTGACTCAACTCAGGTCTGAATTCGTGGACGAGGTACCTCAGACCCCTGCTGAGGAGGTGCTGGGTGATGAAGCAGCTGATGCAGAGGAGACAAATACTGATGCTCAAGCTGCCAAAGCCCCAAGTACTAAGGCACCTCCGCCATCAACCTAGGCTTAGATTAGTTTTCTTTTCAGTCTTTTGAATGTAATGGCCTGA